CTCTCTCTCTCTCTCTCTCTCTCTCTCTCTCTCTCTCTCTCTCTCACACACACACACACACACACACACACACACACACACACTCTCACACTCTATTTGTGTGTGTGTGTCTCTGTCTCTGTCTCTGTCTCTGTCTCTGTCTCTGTTTGTGCCTGTGCTAAGGCAGATTTGCGTCATGGGGACGCTCTGGAGAGAAACCTGCGGGACTGTTCGCCATCTTCAGTACAAGACGTGAAAAAAAAAAGAAAAAAAAAGAAGAAGAGAAGAAGAAGACGTATATGTGGATAATATCAATGGTGGCATCACAGGACCTCCCACCAAGATTGCGTTTTTTTCCTTTCTTTGGTTTATGGAAAGGCATAAACGACAAGGATGGGTTTCTTCCAGGATAGACCTAGATGGACTTAGAATAATGATTTTTTTTTTCTTTTCTTTTCTTTTCTTAATAATGGTTTTCTTTAGAAAGCAGGTGACACAGGATAGATCATAGATGTACAGCAAGAGATTCAAAGACCTCCTTTCGTAGATTTTGCCAGAGTTTTTTTTTTTTTTTTTTTTGTCAGATTTTGGTAAGTTAAACCATCCACCATGACCTCTTCTGAAGGCGGTTGGGATAGTGCAATAACTGGGACGCTGGACCAGGTTTCCAGCAATCTTAACACTCTCTTAAGCTTAGATAGGGGACGTTGGACCCGGTTTCCAGCACAGTGGTGTCGTGATTCAATGTTGCAGACTTTGTTATGATGTATTCAAAGGGACGCTGGACCCGGTTTCCAGCAGGTGATGCTCCCCACCAATAGACGGAGTGGTCCGCCAGGCAAAGCCTCAATCCCGGTGGTTCTCTTACCACCACCAGGGGTCTGGTCCCACCTACGGTTGTTGAGTTCAGAAAACTCAACGGTGTGACGCCATTTCAACATTAAAATATTCGAAACAAGAAATAAAAAAAACTGAAAAAAATGCTAGAAACAGCTTTTCTCCTTATTTTTTATAACGTTACTCCGAGAAATGAAACATGTCTGGAACAGTCGGAGTGAACGTCTCCGTGAAAAAAGGATACTCCCCGTGGTGACGGGACAGGAGGTCACCATTTGTAAAATGGACAGGGACGACGTGAATGGCCAAATGCATTCATTGCCCAAAGAAGGAAACCAGTTTGATGCCAGACAGCCAAACACAGCTGTCAGAGTTCCTCCGTTTCAGGATGCAATGAGGACTAAGAAAACAAAAAAAAGGAAAGGCACTGAAGTTGAGAAATGTACCCTACCCTCGGTAGGGTATTTTTCTCAACGGAAAATGGCTTCCCGCCCAAACCAAAAGAGCCAACGCATACTACAAAACGGATTTCACGTCAAAAAAAAATTCTGCAAAATGACTAAGTTTAATAGGTTATTCTCCTGTATTTTGGTACCGTTAGATTCGCAACACATCAACGGCAGAGCTCCGTCCCACCATGCCACACGTGATAGAAAGCTCAGCGTTGAGAAAACTCAACGCTGTAGGTGGGACTAGACCCCAGGATGGAGGTCTTGTATGAGGACCTTGTATGAAAAATAAATAAATTAATTAATTAATTAAAAAAAGGGATGGGTTTGGTTGGGATGGGCTTGGCCGGGAGTGCCTCGCCCAGCCCAAACGACCATGGAATAAATGTTAGGGACGACGGACCCAATTTCCGGCATATTATGGAATCGTTGAGTTCTATTTTTATTTTTACTTAAAAACTTGAAAAAAGATAATATCACCGTATTATACGATTACCTTTTATGTTCCTTTTTTCAGAAAGGTTTTCTAAAGATTTAGAGACTACCGTCTTCCCAGAAAAAAAAAAAAAAAAAGAAAAAAAAAAAAGAAGAAAAAGACTACCGTCTTCCCACGAACACAACGCACCCTCATTTTGGGTGTATCTGGCCGGAAGTATAGCCCGTATACATTCATTTTTATGGTGCGTTATGTTCGGGGGAAGACGGTCGCCGTAGATCGCCCATTGGAACGCTCGCCACAACAACAACCACAAAAAAAAAAAAAAAAAAAAAAAGCCTGGAGTTACGTACCGTGTCGTTGAAAAACGTTACTCCTTTCTGAACTTTCTCTCGCTCTTTTTTTTTTTTTTTTTTTTTTTTTAATGAGTAAACTCAGGATGGAGCTTCCGATTAGTTCCTCGAACGCCTTCCGTTGAGTGCCTCCTGAGTATTGTATCAACAATCGAGTCCAGATACAATCCAACGTAGAGCAACGTAAAGAGAGTCCAAGTACATTCGGGAGTGGT